AAAAAAAAAAAAATTCCCACTAAATATCTTAAAGTCTGTTGTAAAAACGTATATCCTACATACAAACACAGACAACCATTTCCATTACTAAAATAATCACTTTCTGGAAGCTTACAAATGTTAATAATTTCTTGCTATAACTATTTTCCCAATAGAATAATTGTACATTTCCCTATACAATTATACACAGCATGAGTATGGTAATTTAATTCTCTGTAGAACAATACAAACTTCATATTCAGAACCATGCTAATATTAAAATTAGTTCCTCATGTGTAGTGCAGATATCTCAAAAAGAAAATTGTACAAATTTAAAAAGAGGCACCCCATTCAGAAATATATATACACCCTTCTACTAGTTACCTCACTGAATTCTGACTTCCCAGTCATTCCAACTTCAACCCTTGCTCTCTGCTCCCACTGGACTCCCTACCTCCAAAAGAAATCTTGTTCTATGTGTATCTGTGTCCGTATAAACAAACACAATACTTCTTACAGATATATGTAAGATTACACATGTTATTTTACCTATTTTTTAAAGATGAGGTCTCACTATATTGCCCCCAAGCTTCTGGAGTTGGTCTCAAACTCCTGACTTCAAGAATCCTCCCACCTCAGTCTTTCAAGTAGCTGGGACTACAAGCACAGGCCACTGCAACCAGCTACTATACTAAGTTTTTGAATCACATAAATTTCCAGCTTTAATTCCTATCTGCCATTTAGTATACCTGTGGTCTCTGGCAACTACCTTAACTTTTTAAGCCTGAGTTTTCTCATCTTTAAAACTAAGGTACTGGGGGCCGGGGAGATGACTAAGTAGAATAAGCACTTCCCTGGCAAGCACAAGGGCCTGAGTTCAACCCCAGTTCCACAAAAAAAAAAAAAAAAAAAAAAACTAAAGTACTGGGGGTCAGGGAGATGGCTCAGTGGAATAAGCACTTCCCTGGCAAGCACAAGGACCTGAGTTCAATCTCAGGTTCTGAAAAAAAAAAAAAAAAAAAAAGAAAGAAACTAAGGTACAATACCTTAGTACTAGATGCAGAGAAGAGTGTTGTAAAGATAAAATGAGATTAACAACACTCAATTGGGGGTAGGGAGATGGCTCAGTGGAATAAGTGCTTCCCTGGCAAGTGCAAGAGCCTGAGTTCAATCCCCAGTTGGGGGAGGGGGGATCACTCAATGAATGTTGGCTATTATTAATATTGACTTAAGAATATTGATGTAAGAACATTGTAATATTTGTATTGAGAGTAATAAAAAGACCATTAAATTATGTTCTGACCAGTGAATTTTTCTCCTCATACTCTCATGCTTTTTTTTTTTTTTCCTGAGAAATGTAGTGTCTGACTAATGTAGCAGGGGTTTTTGTTTTTTGTTTTTAATTTATTTGTTACAGGGTCTTGCTAAGCAGCTCAGACTCATACAGATCTCCTTCCATGTTTAGAATTTAACATTTTACCTTTTAAATTCTTCATTCCTTTCTAGTCTTGTCAGCTACTGTGTAAACTCAAGTCGAGAACTTTGTTTCATACTCTGGTGTTCCTTTATGTATTGCATTTATTACACTGTAATTATTTGTTTCTGTTTTCCCTCCTAGGGTATGAGCAATTCCAATGTAGAGATCAAGTCTTTCTTTTGTTTGTGTCCTTAAGGCTTAGCAATCAGACGCAAAATGGGGCTCAATAAATGTTTGTTGAAAGGATAAATGGATTAATTAATCTTTTTCTCCTCTCCAATGCTTTACACAGTACTCTACACATAACAGGAACTCAGTAAAGCTTGCTGTTGGATTCATGCAGGAATTTTTTGGATCCAACCAACACACAAAGATTCATCTACCTCAGAAAAAATTACTTCTTCTGAAGTTTAGCTACTAATGTGACAAAAGTTTTACTCTAATACATATCAAATAAATGCTTCATTGACTAACTATATCTGGATTAACTCAAGAAGCTTTAAAAGCCATTATCCTAATTAATGAATTTGTAAATCACAACATGGCAAAATCTAGTTACATAATCAAGAGGCGTTATCCTTTGTAAATGTATACCTACAAAAGAGACAAATGATCAAAAAGCTGAGATTAATATATCTGCATTAATATTAATTATATACATTTATTACACAATAACTTTACGGTATAAATATATAACAGATTCATTATTAATGATATAATGATCATTTATCTGTAGGTTAAAATGGATACATTATTTTTAACCCCGATTCCAAGCCATAGTTTTCACTAAGAATACATTAATGAGCCAAATGATCCAAACCTGCTTCTAGAAACAGCCCTTGAAACTCAAAATATTTTCCCCTCGGTAATTTTAACTCCTGCGAGAACCTTTATTGACAGATACTCCAAATTTGCTCAGTTTCCTAAATAAAATCTCATTTATTTCTTACAGGCAAATAATCTTGCATAGGCACTTTGGGAACAACAGGTTTTATGCCCAACTAAACCTATCCCTATGTTTTATTACTCAGCCTGCTGTTGCAATAAGAAACACTCTTCTTAGTTTTTAAGTTACACTTAGTGTAAGATTTAAGTGTCGCACTACACATTCTTTCGCTCTATCATCTAAACTGATTTTACACTACATATGTAATTTCATAAATATACCGTAAAGGAACTCTACACTTGAATGAATCTGGGAAGAAATGTGATGTTAGCACACACCCCCTTCCTCCAACTCAATATACTCCAGAGAAAGTACATCGAGGTTTTTTTTTTTTCTCTCTCTCTCAGGAATTTCTCTCCCGCCCCCACCCCACGCTTTTGAGAGCAGCAATCATTCATTATCCTACTCCAGAGTCTCGCCGTTGAAAGAACCTTCCCAACTAACACTAGTTCCTCAGGACACTCTTCTCACCAGTCGGAGTGTCCGTCTGCTATTTCTTTAGAAATGGAAAAGAGTAGGCGAGGGTCTGGGACGCCACCATTCCCGCCACGCCATTTAGGACTCCAGTCCTGGCGCGCACTCCCGGACCAGCCTGAGGCGGCGCCCAGGGAGCTGCACAGATCAGGTCCTCCTTCGGCCCCGACCCACACCCCCCAGACAGAGAAAAGCAAACTGGGCCCAACCTCCCGTTCAACATACCCTCCTCGCAGTACCCCAATTTCGTCCCACTTCTTCCCCGATGTAGCCTGGTTTCTTTACCCAGTTCCGAGTCCCCTTAACCACCTCGCTCCCACCACACGCACCCCTCTAGGCTCTGGCTCCCGCCCCTCGAACCCTGTTACACCCGGGTCCCTCCCCCTGAACCTCTCAGCAGCTCCAACCCTCCCCATGCCCTAGCGCAGACCAGCGCCGTGTCCCGGTACCCTCGGGACCTGGCTCTTCCCCACACGTCACATTTGTGTCCCTTCCCCCCTAGAACCGACCTTCCACACCCCCTCCCCAAGTGCTACCCCCAGAACCCCATTACCTCCGGCCCCGCCCCCCTGAGGGTGTCGCACTCACTGCTCCTGCCGCCGCATCCTGAACCGCCGCGGCTGCTATAGCTACAGGGAGCCAAGGCAACCAGCTCTCGCGACACTTTCCTCAGCTTCGGCGAGAACAGTCGAAGAGAGTCTCGCAAGAAAGTAACTGAGTCAGGCTCGAGCCGGCTAAGTATATCTCGCGATAGTATCGTTTAAAATGGCTGCCACAAGGCGTCTTAGTGGTAGCAAAGGAAGGTTTGGGAGTAGGGCGCTCGGAAGGATGAACCTTGAACTGGCAGAGAATTGGACTATGATTGCAAGTGAAATGATGTGCTCATAGGGAAAGTTAACGTGGCGGGTCCCTCACCGGAATAACTTTGGGGATAGAAGATTTTCTTTGCCTTTAAAAGACTTTCTCAAACTTAGAGCAGTGTCGCCGTTATCTGAAGTTCTGTTTTCTCGGCATTTTCCATTTGCTTGTTGGGATTGGAGATGGGAGATGGCAGGCCCGATATTGAACTTCCCACCTCTACATTATCTTCCTAATGCAGTAGTTTTCATCCGTTGTAAAAGGTATTTACGGTCTCAAAGTATTTATCCCTGGTGCCCCGCCCTGCCAATTCACGAGACCAAAATAGGAAATAAGTTTCAGGAAAAAAAAAAAAAAAAAAGCACAGGTGTTTGGCCCTGTACTTCGCATTGTTTTCCACCCTGTGAACACCTCCTTATTCAGTAGCTGTTTCAATGCTTAGGGCTTTTCCGTGGCTGTTTTCAGGTGGCTGTCATGAGCAGCGTCTGAGACAGTCTGAAACTGAATTGAAAGCATGTTGGTCAATAAGAAAGGATAAAACAGGGTCAGGATAGCGGCCTCGCAAGTGCAAGGTCCGGAGTTCCTGAACTCCCCAAGTACTACCAAAAAATAAAAAAATAAAACAAACAATGGAATAGAAATTTAAAAAGACTGTTTTTGCCTGTTGCCTCTGAATAGCTTTCATAACGAGCTACGCCAGTACTGTCTTTAGAAATTTACTGAGACACCAAATGCAATTTAAAACTAATTACTTTTTTTTGAGCTGGGATTCCGACCCAGGGGTGCTCTTCCACTGAGCAGCATCCCCAGCTATTTTATTTTGTTTGTGTGTAGTGCTGGAGAATTAAGCTCAGGAACTGTCACAGCTATATCTGGAGACCTTTTTTTTTTTTTTTTTTTTTTAAACAAAACAAAACAGGGTCTCCATAAGTGGCTAAACCACCCAAAACTGAGCTCAAATTTGTCATCCTCCTTCTTCAACCTCCCAAGGTGGTGGAATTACTGGTGTGCACTACCATGCCCAGCCAGTTGCCACATTTTTAAATAGATGAAATTAATTGCATCTTGTACTATGAATAACCAGTAAGAAGACAACAATATGCAATGTGTTAATTATTGAAACTGTCCTACTAGTCGGTTTTGAAACTGTCTCATTGCTATTTGTTTCTCAATAAAATTATTTTAAAAAATAAAATAAATTTTAAATGAAATTAATTTTCATAATATTTTACTTTCTTTTTCTTTTTTTTTCCAAACCCAGGGATTGAACTCAGATTCTACTGAGGTATTTCCCCGCCCCCCCCCCTTTTTTTTTTTGAGAAGTGGTTTTGCCATGCAGTTCAGGTTGACCTTGAACTCACTGTGTAGCCCAGACTGGCCTGAGACTTGCAGCAATCCTGCCTCAGCCTCCCTAGTGCCCCCACCCAGGCTGATTTAACCAAATATATTGAAAATAACGTTTTAGTTTGTAATCCTTTTTTGCATTAAGTTTTCAAAATTTAGTATGTTATGCAGCATTTACAGTGTAACTGCAAGTCTAGTCTGTAGTGTAACGAATAAGCAGTTTATATAACTTTGAGGTGTGGTGTTATAAGCATGTGATCTATGTAAAAAGAGACCCTGGAAGGAGATAACTCATGGCTACAAGAGGGTAAACAACCACAGAAGATGATCTTGCATAAGACCATTAGAAGCAGTGGGTACTAGGACCAGTTAGAGACTAGGAGAGCTACTATATCAGGTGTGTAGGCTTTAATCTCAGCACTTACTCAGGAGCCCGAGGCAGCAGGACCATGAGATGGAGGTTTTGCATTTTGGCAGCATAGCAAGTTCAAGGCCTGTCCACTTAGCATGAGCCTCTCACAAAAAACTCAGAAATAAAAGACAGGGCCAGGGAGGTGGCTCAGTAGAATAAGTGCTTCCCTGGCAAGCACAAGAGCCTGAGTTCAATCCCCAGTTCTGCCAAAAAAAAAAAGAAAGAAAGAAAGAAAAAGACAAATAGGGCTACCTCTCACAGCCATCCTGAGTATTTATTTGTTTAAATAATGTTTCAGGGATGGAAGATAGCTCAGTGGCACAAGTACCTACCTGGAAAGTGCAAGGTCCTGAGTTTGATCTCCAGTACCAAAAATAAATAAGGTTTCAATATATAGTCCAAGCTGGTGTGGTACTCTGTGCAGTCCAGCATGGCCTGGACCTAAGATGGTACTGCCTCAGCCTCCCAAGTGCTGGAGTTGCAAGAATGCTACTATTGTGCTCAGATAGAAAGCATTTTTTTAAAGTGTATTTTAACAGAAGAATAGTTCCAAGCAAAAAGATGACAATATATGAATTTCTGATGAGATTTTTGGTGAGATTCTACATTAGACAACCTTTGCCCTTTCTGATCATACTGTGACTTCTAAGTAGACTTCTGTTGCTGAGGTTATAATTTCACAACCATCCTGGACTCTGTTACCTTGAACCATTTTATTTTTTCTTTTCAAAGTTTTATTGATAAACATATAGCAATGAGACAGTTTCAAATCAAATTGAGCCTTGAACCATTTTTGTTGTTATATTTTAAATTTCAGACATCTGAGCTTGAAAAAAGTTTGTGCTGATAGCAAATGTTGGGCTTCCCCCCCCCATAACTTGTTTTTTATTGGTGGTACTGGGACTGAACTAGGGCATGGTAGAAAAGTGCACAGCACTCTACCACTGAGCTATATTCCCAACCCTTTTTTTGACTTTGGCATAGGATATGGCTACAGGGGCGTACACTGTATTCCCAGCTACTCAAAAGGTTGAAGCAGAAGGACCAAAAATTGAAGCCAGTTTTAGCTACTTCTCAAGGCTCATTTCTTGAAATTTAAACAATAAAAGGGTCAGGGTATAGCTCAATCCTCCATGGGTTTCATCACCACAAGAGGTGGAACAATGTGGCTAAGACTGGACTGGCAATCCTTCTGCCTCAGCCTCCCAAGTAGCTGGGATTATAGGCAAATCCCAGCCATGCCCAGCTCGCCACCAACATTAAGGGACTACACTTAATAATTATTTTAAGGCCAGGCGTGCTAATGCACACCTGTAATCCCAGTACTCAGGAGGCTGAAGCAGGAGTATCACTGCAAGTTCAAGGTCAGAAAACAAAAAGTTCAAGGTCAGCCTGAGGTACAAAGTGAGCTCAAGGGCAGCCTTAACTCCAGAGTGAAACCCTGTCTCAAAAAGAAAAATTAGGAGCCTGTCATTAGCTCAATTGTTTAAGCACCTGCTCATGCAAATGCAGTCAGGCTCAGGATATCATATATATTTGATCCCCACCTCCATTTGTATTACCAGAGCTGCCTTTAAGGCAGCCTGAGCCAGCCAAAAAAAAAAAAAAAAAAAAAAAAAAAAAAAAAAAAAAAAAAAAAAAAAAAAAAAAAAAAAAGAAAAGAAAAGAAAAATTAGTATTATTATTTTATGTTTAACTAGGAAAGCTCTTTGTCACATGAAAGTTATCTTTGTTTTTTTGCCTGATACAGTAACTGGTATACATTGGACATTCAATAAGCATTTGTTAAAGGAATATATTTGGACTGGGAATGCAGATCAGTGGTGCAGCACTGGCCTAGCATCTGGGAAGCCGTGAATTTGATCCAAGTACTGGAAAAAGAGTGAGGCCTTATGGTGCACGACTGAAATCCTAGCCTCCAGGAGGCTGATGGGAAAGGGTAACAGTGAGATCAAGGCTAGTAAACTACACATTGAGACTATGCCTCAAAAAATGAAACAAACGAATGGTACTGAGAAAAAAAGAGAGAGATGGCCAACAAGATAGTTAGCTCAGTGGACTAAGCACCTCCTTAGGCAAGGAGGCAACACCTCCTAGTGTTCAATCCTTGGTACTCATGCCTTGCAGGCCTCACCCCCAGGCCCACAGAGCCAGCAACTGAGTCGGAGAGTGGTGGTGCATGACTGTAATCCCTGCGCTGGAGAGGCTGAAAGCAAGAGCATCACTATAATTCCAAGCTGCGTAGTGAGACCCTGTACCAAATACATAAGTTAAAAAAAAAAAACTAAGATAAAATTTAAATATAGGGCTGGTGATATAGCTAGTGATAGAGCTCTGTTTCATTACTAGCACTGAAAAAAAAGAAGATTATAAATTAGGCATAGTAAGAAAATAATAACTACAAAGAACAATTCTAATATTATAATAAACTTGCTAGTATCATTACTATTCCCAGGCCATTGTTCAGCAAAATAAGAACTTCTACTTTCTTTCTTTCTGATTGATTGATTGATTGAGACAGGGTCTCGCTATTGATTAAGACAGGTAGCTCAGGTTTGTCTTGGACTCACTGTGTAGCCCAGGCTGGTCTCAAACCCACGATGATCCTCCTGCCTCAGCCTCCTTAGTGCTAGGATTACAGGCATGTACATGCAAGGGCTTCTTGAACTTAACACTGCTTTACTTTTTTGTTTTGTTTTAAGACAGGGTCTTACTATGTAGTGTAGGCTGGCCTTGAACTCACTATGTTACTCAGGCTGGCATTGAATTTGCATAACCCAAGTGAGACAGAGCAGGATAGCATGAGATTTCTTCATGCTACTCAGAACAAAGTGCAGGGGCCAGGGACATAGCCCAATGGAATAAATGTTTGCCTGGCAAGTGCAAGGTCCTGAGTTCGATCCCTGGTACCACCAAAAAAAAAAAGTATAACTTAAAATATGTGTTAAATATGTGTTTCTGGAATTTTTCCACTATATATATATATATATA